TGATTTTCTACAAACGACTCACTCTCGACTCCTACCTAGCCAACGTGGAACAAGAACGTGACCTCACCAGTGGACTTCGTGGAGACCGAGCCTTCGCTTCCGCAGCGGACGAAGCTGACTTGGACGAGCAGAACGTGGACGCAGCCTCGGAGGAAGCCGGACCTCTCCCGTACTGCTCCGTCGATGTCCCAATGGATGACGAAAACCCTCGTGAAAGCGTCAACGCCGAAGTATTTTGACAAAAGTTAGAAGAAAGAAAGAAGGGTTGAACTAGCAGAAATGGGGATACAAATAGCAAACCCTAGAAGGGTTGTACTCGCTATAGAGAACCCCACTACAGGCTAGAACATAAGATAACATTCTGACACACCCCCATAGCCAAAGTGGGGTGTAATCAGCAGAGGAGGCAAAGCAGTACAAGCTCAGGGTGGATCACAATGTCACCACACAATCTGAGCACAAGTTCAAGAAGAAATAGTTTAGAGTTCACAATTATGAGCAAAGCTAGTGGTAGTCACAACGGGCAAGTGAGGAGGAGGAGAGAGAGTGAGGGGAGAGGAGATAGGAGGCGACGGCTGAAGCTGCAGACACACGGGCAACAGGAGGCAGACTGGCACAGCGGCTACCGGACTAAGCGCCCGGACTACAGGAGTAACAGGCCCCGCGGCTAAAGTAGCGGCAGACGAGCAACGGACCCACGGGCGGCTGGCGTAGAAGTCTAGCTCACTGGGCTACCGGGACAGCGCCCCGGACTACAGGTGCTGCGGACAACAGTACGGCAACCTCCATGCAGCTTCCCCAAACAGTCCCACCCCCCCGACACACACCCGCTGCTACACCGCTAGCTCCACTCCCACGCACCCCCCTTAAACCCTAAACCCCAGTCTCCCACATAACCACCCCCCTCAGCGACAGCTGCAGCAGTGGGAGACGAGGGAGGAGGAGGAGCAAAGGGAGGAATGCACGCCGACCACCCCCATACCCGCCACCCCACAGCTCGCGCGGCCCCCTCAGGTCGCCACGACAGACGACGGGAAAAGGGGGGGGGGGGGGGGGGGGAGGGGGGGGGGGGGGTGGAGGGGAAAAGGAGGGGGGGCGAGGGGCCGCAGGTAGGGCGGCGAGGCCGCGACAGAAGGGGCGGCGGGGCCGCGAAGGTGAGGGCGGCGGGTGGGCCGCAAAGGTAGGGCGGCGGGTAGCCGCGAAGGTAGGGCGGCGGGTGGCCGCGAAGGTAGGGCGGCGGGTGGGCCGTGAAGGTAGGGCGGCGGGTGGCCGCGAAGGTAGGGCGGTGGGTGGCCGCGAAGGTAGGGCGGCGGGTGGGCCGCGAAGGTAGGGCGGCGGGTGGCCGCGACGGTAGGGCGGCGGGTGGCCGCGACGGTAGGGCGGCGGGTGGCCGCGAAGGTAGGGCGGCGGGTGGCCGCGACGGTAGGGCAGCGGGGCCGCGACGGGTCCCCGTCGCCCGTCGTGGCGCCTCCAGAAGGCGACGCGACGAACGACGGGGCAGACGCCCGCCGCGCGCCTCGGGGCGCACAGCGGGCAGAGAACCGCCGCGTGCCTCGGGGCGCACGGCGGGCAGAAAACCGCCGCGCGCCTCGGGGCGCATGGCGGGCAGAAAACCGCCGCGCGCCTCGGGGCGCACGGCGGGAAGGAAAAGTAGCAGCGGAAGCGAGGTGGTAACCCACCCACAGGATCGATCCAGGGGGATCGACCTGCTCTGATAGCATGACAAAAGTTAGAAGAAAGAAAGAAGGGTTGAACTAGCAGAAATGGGGATACAAATAGCAAACCCTAGAAGGGTTGTACTCGCTATAGAGCACCCCACTACAGGCTAGAACATAAGATAACATTCTGACATATTTTACCACTTCGCCGACAACGGTTACGTTACACCTGCAGAAGTCAACACAAACGAAGCAGAACGCGTAGGGCCCAACTTCATACCCGACCCAGAAGCAGGTGACGAAGCAGCTTATCCCGCGGATACCACACTCCCCCGCTACACACAGAGTGGCCTCCAGATACTTGGCCTCGTCACCGCAGTCCACGGCACTGTGATTCCTAAGGAGCCTGCGACAGTTCAGCAGGCTCTGGGGGGGGAGCACAGGGAAAAGTGGCGCGAAGCCATGGACAGGGAATTGAAGGCACTAGAGGAGCGCAACACCTGGAAAGTTGTTCCTATCGGAGTGGCACGAAACAATACTATACTCACCGGGAAGTGGGTCTTCTGAGTGAAGCAAAAGCAGACGGCACCATCGACAAATTCAAAGCACGCTGGGTTGTACGTGGCTTCGACCAGGAACACGGACGCGACTTCACCGAGACATTCGCCCCGGTCAGCCGACATACCTCACTTTGAATCCTCCTCGCGATCGCCGCCATGAAGAAGAAGAAGTTGCGACAAATCGACGTCGCGAACGCATTTCTCTACGCTCCTGTCGACGCAAAAATCTTCGTCGAGTTACCGCACGGCTCGAACAGAGAATCTAACCAAGTCTGTCAGCTGCTGAAATCGCTCTACGGGATCAAGCAGGCTCCGAGACTGTGGCAACAATACATGCACGCTTGCCTCATTCGCATCGGCTTCAAGCAACTACCGCACGACCAGGGGATGTACCGGCTTACGAAAGGCACCGACTACACCCTGCTAATCGTCTATGTAGACGATCTGCTCTACATCGGCTCGACCGACGGTGTCACAACCTGGTTCGAAGGGGAGCTGCAGCAAGACCTCACGCTCACGGTCTCATCTAATGTTACACAGTACCTCGGCCTCAACATCCGGGAAGAGGAAGATGCTATCTACCTCATCGCAGCGAAATACACCGATACCATCGCCAAGCGCTTCGCACTCACACCGATTGCCATCTCCACGCCATGCCGCTACACGGCAGGAAATCACAAGGAAGGGTCCGCTCTACTCAAGCCCGCCGGCATACGCGACTACCAGAGGAAGCTGGGATGCCTCCTCTTTGCAGCTATCACCTGCCGCCCGGACCTATCTTACTCTGCAAGCCAGCTCGCCACCTACCTCAAGAAATCCGAAGCGGAACATCTGGCGGAACTCGATCGCGCTCTTCACTACCTCGTTAGCACTCCGACGATCGGCCTAACTTATCATAAGAACGGAACGTCGACACCTAAACTAATCGGCTACGTCGACGCCGATCACGCCGGCGACTCCGATAACAGACGCTCGCGCACCGACTACATCTATCGCTTCGAACCTATCGGTCCCATCTCCTGGCAGTCGAGTAAGCAGAAACTAATCCCTCTCTCCTCAGCTGAAGCAGAATATATCGCACTCTGTTCAGCCACCAAGGAAGGACTGTACCTTCGCGAACTCCTGGAGGAAGCCAAGCTAGCACAGTTACCAAACTTTACCCTGTTCTGCGACAACCAGACGGCCATTCGCATAGCCAACAAGAGCGGCTTCGCGAACAGGACGAAACACATCGCCCTGGGATACTTCTTCGTGAAGGACGAGATCGAGAAGGGGAGACTCGAACTGTCATACTGCCCCACATCCGAGATGGCAGCCGATTACTTGACCAGGAAGCTCGGAAAACAGAAGTTCGAGTATTGCATGCTGCTGACTGGACAGAGCCACATCACCAACAACAACACTCCAGAAGCGAAGGGGAGTGATGGAAATAATCGAGCTTAAGCGCCCCTGTCGTGTCGAAACACCAAGGCACAAGCGAAGCAAAGCATATCGAGGCACCAGCGAGTCAACTCTCGGAGGTTGAAGTAATTGCTGGAGGTTACGCGAAAGTCAAAGGTCAGCGACCTTTGACCTGACAAGCAGTGCCCTAGATATCAGCCTTTTTACGCTGATTCAGCGTTAGATCAGGCTTTTTTTTAGGGGTTAGGCTGAATCCAAAGTTTTTTGTTATGTACCTTGGCTGATTTTTCAGTGTTTTTTTCTATACCTTGGCTGAATTTTCAGCCTGTTTTTTTGAGTGTATGCTGAGCACTCAGCCTTGTAGTGGGTACACACTGAAACCGGAAAACAGTGATTTCCGCCAGCACACCACTTCCACACGAACTTCCCCCCCCAGCCCCCGTGTTCCACTCAAATTTCCCCCCAGCCCCCGTGTTCCGCTCGAATTTCCACACCCCCCCACCCCGCCCCCGTGTTCCACTCGATTTTCCCCCCCATCCCTCATGTTCCACTCGAATTTCCCCCCTAGCCCCCGTGTTCCACTCGAATTTCCCCACCAGCCCACGTGTTTCACCCAAATCTCCCCCCGGCCCACTTCGTCCACTCTAATAAACCCCCCTTTCAACTCTCCTCCAGGTTGAAAGGGGGGTTTATCCTGTTGAATAAACCCCCCGTTTCTCCCCTCAGCCCAGGTTGCTCTCTCACCCCTTCCCCCAGCCCACCTCGCCCCTCCCCAAAGCTCGCCTGCCTCTCTCGCCACTCCCAAACCAACCATAAAAATGTTACACAAAGTATATGTAATTCGTGATTCTGCTTAGAATCAAAGCTATACAGAATCAGCGTAAATTTTTTATGAACTCTGATTTTTCAGACTTGTTTTCCTAGGTAACGCTGAGTGTCAGCGTTTTTTTCCGTACCAGCGCTGATCGATCAGCCTGGTCCAAAACGAATCTAGGGGCCTGCTGACAAGTACAGCGCGACAGCAAGGACACACAACTGACTCGCTACAGAGTAGTTGCCCGAGTCGTCACTGTATCGAACCGCACCGCAACAGCAACAGTAAAGTAGTTATAACTGTATCTCTTCATATTCCTTGCACTCATATATAATCCTGTATCTCTTTGCTTTAATTAATCGACTTTGCCCTCACATACTAGCGCAAGGTGGTTCACAATTCTTCACTAAACGCTTCCGCTGTTACATCAGTCCTACCCAGAGTTCACCCCTGCAAAGATCCTAAGGGCTTTTTCAGCCCAACAACAATCTCCTCTTCCCATCGTTGATCACCATCTCAATCCCAAACCTCCACGGCTGCTCCCCAACGTAGCCAACCCCCACCATCTCAGCGCACCTCCTCCCCTGCCCCATCCTCCTGCGCCTTCCGAGCTCGCTCCAGCAGTATTCTCGCAATCCTCTGCCGCTTCTCCTCATCAGCAGTTGGCTCCACCACTCGGCTTGGCCCCCTCGGCCCTCCTCTGTTACCACCCCCCATGCTGCTCCACCAGCTGCTACTGCTTCTCCTGCTACCACTGTCACCACTGCCACTGCTCCCAGCACTGCCATCGTTACCACTCTGTCTTTGACTTCCCTCCTCCTCATTCCCAGCTGTTCTGCTAGTGTTGCTTGTTAAGGCATGGCCGACTGCTTGCCCGATTGGTCCCCTGCCAAATCCAAGCCCATCCAGTATTCCACTTCTGCTTCCACTCCCACCATCACCACTGCTTCTGCTGCTGCTGCTGTCTCCGCCGCTACTGCTTTCCCCATCCTCATGCTCTTCATCCCCCCTCCTGCTATTCTCTCCATCCTCGCTACTGGGATAGTGATAGAATCGGTTGAAGTTATCCATTTTACTCATTATAAGCACGGCAGGGAACAGGAGGCAGCCCATAGCCAGCCCGATGCCGCAAATCAACGCAGGCAATCGCCTGCTGCCAGGTGTCGCGACCGGATTCGATGAGGTGAAGGAGGAGGAGAAAGGCCCGTGGCGGAAGTTGCGGTGGGAGCGTGCATGAGCGTAGTGGGAGTGAGTGTGGTGGTGCGGGGGAGTGTGGAGGAGGTAGTTGTAGGCTTCTGTGATTCTCCGAAAGGCGTCAGCATCCCCCGAAGTGTTCACATCTGGATGGCTGCGGTGGTGGAAGAAGGAGATTTAAGCAAAGACACAGAGAAATGTTGTTATAGGCTTATAGCGATCACAGCAACCATGCGATGCCTTTTCTTTATTCATGACAGACGTGCATGAAGAAGGGAACATGTGTGTGTCAAATGAAACAGGGATGTCTGATACAAGTTACAGAGTATACACCCCATCCCTCTCTCTCCTCCCGCAAATCCTCCCCCCTTCCCCCCTTCCACACCCTCCCTCCCCTCCCCTCTTGAAACCCAGTTTCCAAGGTTCTGTTAGGTCATCATTTTTTTCTATTTCCTTATATAATGCTCACACAGCATTCCTGTTTTTCAGCCCCCCCGCAGCTTCTCGCGCAGCTTGAGCGGAGTCTTCTTACAGTTTGAGGCGCCTCAAAACTAGACTTCTCACACGCGGTTTTGAGGCACCTCAAAACCAGCTTTTCTCGCAGCTAGAGCGGAGTCGTCTTACAGTTTGAGCGCCAGGCGGCGGTACGCGGCCTTCACTTGCGCCAGCGACGCGTCGTGCGGCACCCCCAGCAGCGCGTACGCGTCGCCGTGCGACCGTCGCACCATGATGGCCTGGTCGACTGCGAAGTTGAGCGTCCGTGCGACGTCGAAGACGGTCCGCGGACGCTGGAAGGCGCGCTGCGACGTTGTCAGGTTCTTTGCGGGATTGCACTAGGAGCTACGATCCGCGTGCCTCCGAACTTCAAGAGCGCGTTAGAGAGGCTACCCAGAGCGTGAACGTTGAGCGGGAATCGCGGTAAGCTGACGGGGCCAATGGAATCAGGAGCTAGCAAGCTACGATGACGTGGTAGGTGGCGAGGTTCGTTACTCAATCGAACTTTTGAGAAAATGACAAAAATGAGAAACGCATCGTACTTCTCGAGGGGGAGAATCGTTACGCCACTCCCCATCGACGTCTCATACTCGTCATCTAGTATCTATCCAGTGCACCCCGGTCTATCACCCAGGGAGTGGATCCGTCCTGCCAGAAATCTGCATACGAGATCCCTTACTGGCTTGTTGAAGCTTGCTATTGCTTCGTGTGCCTGAGTCCGCTGCGGACCTGCGGCCTAGAATTCTGCACATGGCGCCTAAAAGTGACACGTCACCACGGACATAGGACGGAAGGTTCTCGGGATGCTTCTGGGAGGTAGGAGGTGGCTGTGCGAAGGCGACGTGAAGTCAGCTGTTGCGAGAGTTACTGCCTAAATCAAGTTCATCGCAGACAGGTATGGGAGTGTGGGAAGTGGTAAGGGTTGGGAAACGGGTGGGGATGGGCTGTTCGCACAACCATCATCCTTCACGTAGCGCCCAGTTTCGCGAAAATGGTTATAGTTCGCCAGCCTTCGCAGCTACCCATGCTCTATCATCCGGCATGGTCCTGAATGCCTTGTTCGGTGTCAACCAATGTTCCCTTCATCTGCCAAGCACATAACTGTACCGTATATAACTTCGTGTACTGTTGCACTCTTTACACTCTCACTTCTCCCTGCCTCCCCTTGCAGCACACCTTTGACGGCGTTCCCAAGCCGAAGTCTCTTCACCTCGGGATTCTCTTGTCGTTGCCTGAGACATAGCCGACCAAGCAGACATGGAGCCTAGCAAAACAAGCAGAACAGCCATGGTGTTTGGCGGTGGCAAACACGACAATTTCGATTCCTAGGCTTCAGGAAAGCCGTCTTTTGAGTCGACTCAGGAATCCTATTGGAAAGGGCGGAGCGATGGAAGGAGAGCGATGCGGAGGCGACGGGCTGACGGAGCCATGTGGAGCCGTGTCGCTTCTTGACATTGTTCTGCGATTCTCAGTAAGAACGAGTCGGAATAGCTCGTATTGGCGTTTCTTAAAGTTGATATCGCTGACGAGCACTAGGAGGGATTGATATTACGGCAAAGTAGACCCTTGCAAGAAACTCACTGAGAGTGGTGAAACGGCTTCTTTCTTACGGTTCAATCTGGCTTCTATTTACGAGCTTGTTGTACCGTGCCTTTTCTGCCGTCAACATACATAATACTGAACATTCAAGAATAATAGAAATAATAGTAGTTGAATACTAATAAAAAAACAAACAAACCACCTACTTCGTCCAACTTAGACATGATGTCTCCACTCATCACACCGCCCTTCGCCACACGTCTCAGGTTCCTACTGCTGCTTCTTTCCGTCCTGCTCCTCCTCCTCCCCCCTTTTGGACCCTCTCTGGCTAATTCTGACGTTGCGAGGAGTTCCGACGTGGCGGAGGAGACTCACCACGAATCGGAGAAGCGGCGATCGCTGCTATTCAGTCGCTGTTCCAAGTCGGGCATTCGAGGCTTCACGTCCTCCAAGCGACTCACAGGCGGGTAAGGTGTGATTGCCCTCGCTGCTGAATGCGGCTGTTTGAATTGCCACCCATGCTGCTCGTGAAAACTACAATCCGGCATCATCCGAGGCTTCATGTCCTCCAAGCTCCTCACAGGCGGGTAAGCCGCAGTTGACACGAGCAGCCCCTCCCCACAAAAAAACCCTCCTTCCCACCCCCCCCCCCCCCCCCCCCCCCCCCCAACCACCCCCCCTCCCAACCCCCTTCCCCCCGCTCCCACCCCCGCCTTCGCCTCTCCCCCTTTCCCCCCTTATTATTCCCCCCACTAGACTGTGCTGGCACTGGCGCGCTACCATAGGGACCAACAGGAGAGAGAAGTCTAAGGAGTCTTAACGTGTGCTCTAATCCCAACTCTCTTTCCCCCGGATGCTTCTCTGGTCGCCCACCAATGGTTGCTCTTGTATCGCCTTCCCGCTCCCAGTCTATGCTGTCATTGGCGTGAAAGACGGGACGTTTGGGGGTCGTTTACAGCCAACAGCAGCAAAAGACCGAGGACCCGTCATGTCTTGGCTCCCGTTCCCCTGTCCTCCCACCCTCCCCCCCCACAGCCTCTTCCTTCATTGGAGGGCCACCACCGGGGGCAGCAAGAAGGTGAAACTCGCGCTGCTGGCAACAACCAGGTCTCTTGCCACCCATGGATGGTTTTCAAGTCTGTTTCTCCACTAGCGTGCCTCCTCCCCTCCTCCTCCCTCCCCTCCCACCCTTCCCCCGACCAGCCTCTTCCTTCATTGGAGGGCCACAACCAAGGGTAGCGAGAAGGTAAAACTCGCACTGCTGGCAACAACCGGGTCTCTTGCCGCCCACGGATGGTTTTCATTTCAAGTCTGTTTCTCCACTAGCGTGCCTCCTTCCTCCCCTCCCACCCTTCCCCCCACCAGTCTCTTCCTTCACTGGAGGGCCACAACCAAGGGTAGCGAGAAGGTGAAACTCGCACTGCTGGCAACAACCGGGTCTCTTGCCGCCCACGGATGGTTCTCTGCTGGCTGGTCGCCGGATGGCAAGATGGGCGGCAGCAACGTGATTGTAATGGATTCGCCGTCCAGCCCTCCTGTGACTGCTGATCTGATCGGGCATGCTGTCAGTGGTAGCCCTGCCACGTGGACTGCTGCTGATACGAGTGTCACAATAATTAATATGGGCATTATCATGAAGTGAGAAGATTTTGCTTTTGAGTCGGCTCAAAGGTCACCTCGTTTTGTAATATTGAGTCATATTAAGACCACCAGCATACTACAGTATGATCATTGCTGTGCATGATGGAAACTGCAGGTTCAGCCGAGCTAAGGGGGACGCAGGGGTGCCGGTGAAGCTACGAGGAAGGACGCACATTGTGTGGGCGTTTGGTCTGGGAGCTTGGAGTCCTAGCGGACCGCATGTGACCAGGTGAGGGGCAGTCAACGCTGGTCGACACAGTCAACCTCAGGCAACAAGTGTGTATATTTAGTGCCCAGTGAAAGTGCAAGGAGAAGAACATCAACGGCTGATGTCGTAAACGCAGGCAAGGGGTAAGAGGAGGTCAACATGGGACTGGAGACATAGAAATAGCACATTAATAAGCGGATCAGGAGGACTAGCACTTGCTGATGGATCTCTAAACATGGCACTTGCTGCCCCCTGCCCCCAACCCCCTCTCATCCCATCCCTGACCCAACCCCATCCTCCCCTTCCCCTCTTCCCCTACCTGCTCCCCCTCCGCCACTCTTGAGTCATTTCTTATTTTATTTCAGAGGCGCTACAGTGGTGAATTTCTCCTGCGACTGCAGAGGCGTGTCAAGGATCTTTTGCTAAACAACTCTTCTGGGAGTTGGACTGAGGGTGCATCATAGCTGTAGTACGAGTTTGTTTTTCCTACATCAGCAAATAGCTACCCAAATTAACTCGTGCAATACCTTGTGTGTTGTGCAATACATTGAGTGTCAAACAACAGCATCATTTTCACATAATCTATTTAGCTGTGTTGTGCTGTAAGAAAGAGAGAGAAAAAAGAATGCGTTACCTGACTGGCTGGAGCTGAGGTCAACTGCACACTTCGCAGAGCTCCTTCACTTTTTATTTATATTCGTATATTACATTATCATACCAGTATGTATTCAATCTATATATCGTCACTATTGCGAAAGAAGTCAGTTCGTTCCTAAGGCGAGGCCTACCACTACCCGTATCCGAGTGGCGTGACGGTGTCAAGAGGAGGATCTGGATGTAGACACCTTTGCCGTGTCGCGGCCGCCAATTCGAAATTTGAATGTTTTGCTTGCGGGTCGCGCTAATGGCACCCGCTCTATATAGTAACTCCAGCGAGGCGCGCATTTCCCGCCAGACGTCTTCCCACGTAAAGCGTTCCACCTCAATATCCTTGCTCATCGCGGTGTGTGGGTGGAGCGTGTATCTGGTGCTACTGCTTGCCGAAATGATTGGACTTTCAGCCCCCATCGCGTCGGGCTTTGTTTGCTGATGTGCTGTACGCTGCTAGTCACAGTGAGCGCTCTGCTCATTTCATACATACCGTTGGTTTCAACAAAGCGCACATCACAGCGCGCATCTCAGCCCTCTGTAGCGCTGACGATGATGATTAGGCACCACGCTTTGGTCCGATTGGTTCGCATTACAGCATCCAGCGCCATACAGCAGCATCTCATTGGATGGCACCTGCTTAGCTGCGTTTCACTAGACTTGTGATCTGGAAACAGAACCACAGTTTTTGACAGTCATGATCATGTGAATGAATGCTCCAGTTCAGCACAGCATCAGTTTCCGCTAGATTTAGAGAAACTAGGGTAAAATTATCTCATCTCATCCCTTGCATCACCCTCACGTCAGCACAGACTGTTGGCGGTATCACTGGCATAATCGCCTGTTTTGGTCACGGAAGGACATTGCAGTCGAACCACAGTCACGCGCCGCATTCACAGCCCAGCCCAGCCCAACCCAGCACAGCACGTCTTCCCGTCAAGTCCGAAGCCATGGCCCGATCAGCTCCGCGGTTGCTTCCTCTGGGAATTGCGCTCGTCCTTCTCGCAGCGCTCACGTCACGCACGTCCGCGCGATCCGAAGCTAGTTTTAACCCTAGCACAGTCGTCACTCCCAAGGCTGGCTTTACCGTTCCCAGCTTCAAATTCAACTTCAAGTTCGACTTTCAGAGAGTGTCGAACCCGCTCGTGTTCTTCGCGAAATGCCAAAAGTCTTCGCTGGCGGGTTACTCCTCGTCGAAACAGCTCTCTAACGGGTATGATATGCGAGTAGCGGTCGGTTTCTCTTGAAAATGCCGCACTTTCCCTTCATCCCCTTTCACTCGTTCCCTTTCCACTTGTTCCCTTCCCCCGCTTCCCCTTTCCCCTTGCTTCGATCTGGTTCCTTGCGGCATCAAACCGATCCCCCTCGCATTCTTCCCTCCCCACTGCCCTCCATTCCAAGTTACTTTTGAGTCGACTCATCGTCCTCCATTCCCGCGCACATACGGTTCTCCCCGCAGCCGCACTCTCCTGGCGCTGGAGTGGCAGGTAGAGGCCTCGTCGAGCGACCAGGTTCATCTCGTCGCTTACCTTTCGTCACCTCTCCCCTTTCCGCTCCTCCCCTTGTCTCTCTCGTCTCCTCGCTTCTCCCGTTACGCCTTCTCCACACGCTCGCTCTGCACTGGCAGGTAGAGAACCCGTCGAGCGGCCAGCCCGTGAGAGACCCTCCACTTCCCTCTCCTCGTCTCCCCCGTTTTCCTCTTTCCCGTCCTCCCTGCAGGCTCACTGTTCACTGGCAGCGGTCACCTCGTCGAGCGGCCAGCCTGTGAAAGCCCCTCCACTTCCCTCTCGTCTCCCCCGACTTCCTCTTGCCCGTCCTCCCCGCAGGCTCACTGATCACTGGCAGGCAGTCACCTCTTTGAGCGACTGACCTGTGAGATGCTCTGCTCTCTTCATACCTTCTCTTCCTCATCCTCCACTTTTCCGTCCTCCCCGTAGCTTACTCTGCACTGGCAGGCAGTGACCTCGTCGAGCGATCAGCTTGTGAACGACTCTTCTCTTCCCTTTCGTCTCTCCTCGCCTTCTGTCCCCCATCTTCCCCTTCTCCATCTTCCCCTTCTCCATCTTCCCCTTCTCCGTCCTCACATGGCACTGGCAAGCAGAGACCCCGTCGAGCGATCAGCTTGCAAAAGACTCTTCTCCCCTTTCGTCTCTCGGCACCTTCTGTCCCCCATCTTCCCCTTCTCCGTCCTCCCCGCAGGCTCATACGGCCCTGGCAGGCAGCGGCAGCGACCCCGTCGAGCGATCAGCTTGTGAAACGATCTCCGCTCCTTCCGTCTCCTCTCATCCTCCTCCCATCTTCCCCCCTTTCCGTCCTCCCCGCAGGCTTACTCTGCACTGGCAGGCAGCGACCCCGTCGAGCGATCAGCTTCAGCTGGCTCTCGAGGCGAAGAAAGGCACTCCGGCTGCGGCGAGCTGGTTCGCCGTGGGGTGGTCGCGGAGCGGCAAGATGGGCGGCAGCAATGTGATTGTAATGGAGGAAGTCGGCTCCGCGCCGGGCCAATACGATCTCGAGAGTGATCCCCTGTACACTGCGAAGGCCGTCGCTGCGTCGTGGTCGGCGAGCTCGTACAGTATTACAGAAGATGACAAGTCTGTTGTAATGCAGTAAGTCAGCATGTGTATCGAGGTTCTTGTATCGCGTATAGCGATAATGACCCCCTGTACACGGCGAAGGCTGATGCTGCTTCGTGGTCGGCGAGCTCGTCGAGTGTTACAGAAGATGACAAATCTGTTTTGTTGCTTAAGTTTTGTTGGGAGGTACAGGTGCTGCGGTCCTTGTATCGCGTATAGTGAGTGGTCTCATAAGCGACCCCTTGTACACGGCGAAGCCCGTCGCTGCTTTGTGGTCGGCTAGCTCGTCGAGTGTTCCAGATGAAGATAAGTCTCTAATGCAGGCAGTTTTGATGGCAGAATTACATTCACCGACCTCCCTCCCCCGCCCCCACCCCCATTACAGCTGCGGATCTTTTTTCGAGGCAACTCAAATTTCTTTCCGAACCCCCTGCCCGTTCCGTTCCCTGCGCCTATCTTCGCATTTCAGATTCTCCCGTGGAATAGGCGAAGACAGCAGTGTCCCTGTGAAGCGATCGGGTTACAGTAACATGATTTGGGCGTATGGCGCGGGGATTTGGGAGGTGGATGGAGGTCACGATGCCAAGTGAGTGGTGGTGGGGGCTGTTTGTTTGCCTGTGGGTGGAAAAAGTAACTCTTTTTTTCCAGAAAGTGTAGGAATGAAACTCTCGGGTTACGGCAACATGGTTTGGGCGTATGGTGCGGGACGTGGGATGGGGATGGTTTGAAGCGAGTAATGAATTGTACTCATTAAAGGCTCGCCATTACTGATCTCTCCATGCATTGGTTGGAGGGGAAGCATGTCAATGCATTGGTTGGTTCCATGAGACTCTCCTTTCCGGTCCTTAGCATGTCAATGCTTTCCTCTCCTTTCTCTCCCCCCACCCCCCTCCCTTACCACAAGTGTAGTGTGTTTGACTTGTTTCAATCAGAACAGAGATTGATATTAGAGGAACCTGATGTGGAGTCTAAATGAGCAGGTTCATCCTCTTTATTAGCTCTTGGGGCTTAGTTGAGCACTTTTGCTGATGCTTATTCCTCCTATGCCCAATCTATTCCCTTCACCACAATCGCAGGGGTGCCACTGTAGTTGACTTCTCATGTAACGGCTGCAAGGGGCTTTTGCGGAAACGATGCTGATGACCCACTACTGCGCAATTCTTCTAGAGCTTAGATTAGTAGTTTTTTTTTAGGCCACTCCATTAACATATAGAGAATAGAGCAGCTAGTTAGTAACAGCTGGTGCCATTCTCTGGCCGTCCATCCACTATCAGACTGATGCACTCAACAAAGCATGCACTTTAATAAAGATAGTGGGATAATGCCATGTACCTGCAGTACTAAACCCTATTGGGATTGTTTGAAACATCATCTTGGATATGCACCTGGTATTGAATTGAACTTCTAATCCACTAACAGTCTCCTCCACTTGCTCAGGTCCCCAGTCTCTAAACCTTCCCACACTGCTGCTCCTATCCCCCTCACCCTCCCGCATCCACTCACCTCCCCAACCCCAGTGTAATACATTAGAATCCTGCCACTCCCCACCTCTCCCTCACTCTTCCCCTCCCCTCCTCCCTCACTCTCCCCTTCCCCTCCTCCCTCACTCTTCCCCTCCCCTCCAATCGCACCCACCACAATCAAGTCGGGAGTCCCAACCAGCAGGTTGTCCCAAACCTGTTCCCCAAACCTTGGCTGGAGGATCGGGCCGCCAGGCTCCGGCCCAACGTGCCGGGCCTTCTCCCACGTCTCCCCTCCGTCCACGGAGTACGCTAGCCCAATTGAGTACGTCCCATTATAACGTGCTCCCTCATAAAACATAAGCAGCACCGGCGGGTCACTGCCTTCACCTACTGTACAGATATCCTCTTTCTGCCCCCCCTGCTGCTCCTTCTTCTCCTGCTGCTCCCTGTGCTCCTTCTGTCCTTTCAGCTCCTCCCATTTCTGAACGGCCTTTGGGCCAAAAGCAGCCAAGGGCACCACATGGCGCCTGTTGGCCCCTGCCTCGTCCCATGCCCCCATGGAGCCTCTGCGGATGCATGAACCCTTCTTAGTCCTGGCACATGGGAAGGAGGGAAAGGGGAAGAGTGGAAAGAGCAGCACATGGCGTCGGTTGCCCCCTGCCTCGTCCCATACCCCCAAGGGCCCTCTGCGGATACAGGAACCCTCCCTTCTTAGTCCTGGCAGGTAGGACGAGAGGGGAGGGAGAGAATGGAGAGTGCATAAGACTGCATCGGTTGCCCCCTGCCTCGTCCCATGCTCCCAAGGGCTCTCTGCGGATACAGCCCTTCTTAGTCCTGGCATGGTCATGGTATGGCATGATCACGGAGAGCTGCTTGGTCGACACTGATGGTGCCAAACCCCTGTGCCAAACCCGTTGAGACCCTCCGGGCCTGCTGCCATGGATGCTCCAGAAGCCGGAGGGCCGTCGGTAGCATCTCTCGGATACAGGAGCCCTTCTTAGTCCTGGCATGGTCACGGCATGGCATGGTCACGGCATGGCATGGTCACGGCATGGCATGGTCACGGCATGGCATGGTCACGGCATGGCATGGTCACGGCATGGCATGGTCACGGCATGGCATGGTCACGGCATGGCATGGTCAGGGAATGGTCAGAGCTTGCCAAGGCATGGCAGGGGTATGGCTGGAAGCAAGTACCTCGGTGATTGAAACATGGTAATTACCCATTTCTTTGTGTGTGGATCAAAGGCAGCTGAGCCAATGGTGTAGCAGTACTGAGGGAGGGACTCTGGTACTCGGTCCACCTCCCCGTCCTCCCCCACGTGGGCATGGCCAGCGGAAAGCCCTCCCACAAATAGAAGGCATTTGAGATGGAGCAGTATGTCCCAACCCTTACCATGTCTTTTTGCTCGGATCAAAGGCAGCTGAGCCAATGGTGTAGCAGTACTGTGGGAGGGAGTCTGGTACTCGGTCCACCTCCCCGTCCTCCCATACATGGGCATGGCCAGGGGCGTGTGGGTCGCCCACAGATTGGTATGTCAGCAGCCAGTCCGCATCCGCCATGTCAGCAAACTCTGACAGGACGGCGTCTTTGGCTGTCGCTCCTTCCGCATCCTCTACCCTCTCCGTTTGCACTCCCCCTCCTCCTCCCTCTCCTCCTTCCTCTCCTCCCTCACTTGTCCTGCCTTCCCACTTAGACCCGTTGTGAGGTACTCCAATGGAACCTCCAGTCTTGCTCTGCCATGAGGACTGCACAGTCACACGTGGCCAGGAAACTGCCAGCTCATCCCAGCTGTCCACGTCACCCACGTCCAGGAAAGGAGCCTTTGCTCGCTGCCACGTCACCCCGTCCGCTGACGTGGCGACGCCAGATCGCATGCGCGCTCCCAGTGCCGTCTTGCCAGCTGGCCAGGCGGGGAAGCGACCAGGGTCTAAACCACCTGTGGGTAAACAAGTGGAAAGGGGAGTAACTCGTAAGATTAATCTAAAGGGGACGTCAAAAGAAAAAAAAGAAAAAAAAGAGAGGAGGTTAGGGAGTGGGTAGGAGGTATAGTTATATGGTCTAGGAATGTGATCCACAGGTCGTGAATAGTCACAAATGTACAGTAGAGCACGCATGCTTCATATGGTCACACAAATGCTTCACATAGTCACACCTTGTTCATAACAAGCACACACCAAGCACGAAGCTGCACAGTAGAGCAGTAGAGCATGCGCCACATGCCATCAGGCAGCAGCAGCACACCACTGCACCCCACATGCACGCCACTGCACCCCACATGCACACCACTGCACCCCATATGCACGCCACTGCACCCCACATGCACGCCACTGCACCCCACATGCACGCCACTGCACCCCACATGCACGCCACTGCACCCCACATGCACGCCACTGCACCCCACATGCACGCCACTGCACCCCACATGCACGCCACTGCACCCCACATGCACGCCACTGCACCCCACATGCACGCCACTGCACCCCACATGCACGCCACTGCACCCCACATGCACGCCACTGCACCCCACATGCACGCCACTGCACCCCACATGCACGCCACTGCACCCCACATGCACGCCACTGCACCCCACATGCACGCCACTGCACCCCACATGCACGCCACTGCACCCCATATGCACGCCACTGCACCCCACATGCACACTGCCTAACGCTGAGCTGAGGGATCATCTGGTGAGAGCTTCAAGTTGAATTGAATAACAAGCCACCTGCTTCATCATAAGCACACATACGCACATGCGCCCACCTGCGTAGTAGAGCAAGAGCCACGTGCCATCAGGTAGGAGTAGCACGTCACTGCACCCCACATGCACACTGTCAAACGCTGACGGGTCGTCTGAGGGGTCAAAAACAGCTCCTCCGGGTAAAGGTCCAGGGTACCTGGATTGGAGAGAGTAGTAGCGAAACCAGAGTCATTGACATATTATTGCAGATTGTCAAAACCGCCCTGCAGAATCAAGGATGCAGTGCAGCGCATGGCTTTTCCAGTTATGGGGAACGCCACAAATCATCAACGGCCAGGGCAGGACTCTTCGACCATTGGTGGAGACTGATGAGGTGCGATTGTTGAGTCGGATGGGAGTTTGATTGCTAACGGCCGAGTCCACTCGCCCAAATGGGGTGCCTGGCTGCACGCACACCCCCATGCCCCACTCTTCGATGTCCCTCCCTCCCTTGATGGTGCATCCACCTTGCCTTGCCCCTCCTATAACCACACCCTCACCTCTCCCACGTGACCCCATCGCTGCTGACAGCCATGCCCACTCGCCCGAACAAAGTCCCTGGCTGCGCAGACACCCGCTTGCCTTACTCCTCCGAGCGCCTCCCTCCCATGATTGTTTATCCACCATTCCTCTCTCACCTCTCCCACGTGATCCCATCGCTGCTGACAGCCAAGCCCACTCGCCCAAACGGAGTGCCTGGCTGCGCACCCACCCCCATGCCCCACTCCTCTGTGTCCCTCCCATGGTAGTACATCCGCCATGCCTTGCCGCCCACCCGAGCCGCCTGCTCAGGCCCGGTCCGAACCACAAGAGGCCCGGCAAAGAGCAGCCCGTCCCACCAGTGCTGGTCCGCAGGAGGTGGCCCTAGAAGCCTGCCTCGGAAGGGGTCTGGGAGCGAACCCGAAGGAGGGGACTGCGATGCTGACGTGGCAGCACGACAGGTCAGCATGGGATGATTGTCTCTTGCGGAATGAGCAACAGGGGTCGGGCTGACGGAAGGGGTGTTTCTTATTGAGGCTGGTGAAACGCGAGGAGGAATCATGCTGCTATGGCGTGTTGCAACGTTGGTGAGGAACCTGGGAGATTGCGGGTGCCAACGAGGATGACGGCTCCGCGCAGGAGACGATTTCTGAGACGTCTCAAAAAAAGGTGCTGCGATGCTGGTGAGGAACCTAGGAGGTTGCGGGTGCTGACGAGGATGACGGCTCCACGCAGGAGAGTGGATGATGGGCTGGGACTGGCGGCACGATGGAAAGCAATAACAGTGCTGGTTAGGCTGGTTCTGCTGCTGCTTTCGTGTAGCCGTGGCGATTGGCGAATATGGAGGGTTTGACGAGAGAAGGGACGCCATAGCCTGACAAATTGTTTGATGAGCAGCGTCAAGTCACGGTCAATGTGCGACGGAGGTGACTGGCAGACGAGCTAGATAGGAGCCATTTCTTCGGAAGTCGCGGTGCGAGAGATCTAGATTCTTTTAATTTCCGAGTTGACGCGGTGACGTCATCTCGCAGCATTGGTGGTGTCCGAGGAAGGGGTCTTCGACTCGTCGCGAGGCTACTTTCCTTCTACTCCGGCCGAAAATGGAGTTTTCTTTTGGCAGGGAAGACCTCTGCCAAGCCTAGACCCATGCTGGATGCAAGCGTCGCGTCTTTCCGCGAGGCGCGTCGGGCGGATGACGATGAGACTGTTCGGACGTGCCACGTGGAAGAGCAACGAAATTTCGAGCTGGCTTCGGTAATTCCGACGATGGATGAATCCCATGGCTCGAAAGCATGAACCCATTGCAGTAGTGCCTATCCAGCCTGGTCCAAAGTGTGTAGTACTAATGAGATCCTCCTTGATAACTGGACAGGTATCCAATCGCCTATTTTTCATCGTGCGTTGCGAGGTTGGGTGGAATGATGACGAAGCGTCCCTGCTGTCATCATTTATCGCAACGCAATGCTATTCTTTCTCAAACCCCGACGCGTTTGCGACATTTTCTTCCATCCATCAACGTGTATTGGTTCGCCCTCTTTTCGCAAATCCGTTTCGCCTATCTGCGCGAACTCTCGCAGAAAATCTATTTTCGTAACGCACCTCGAGAATTTTGATGCGAAAAGCCCCAGCAATTATTTCCCTGTTGGAGCGGACTTTCCAACGGCTATTTTTTCTCAGCCACCTTTAGTCACAGCTGTCACTCAAAGTCTGCATTCGCCATAAGAATTAGTCCTAGAGAATATCGAGCGCTCTAACAGGGGTCAGCTGAAGACATTGCTTTTAGAGCACGCTACCCGACAAGTGCTGCATTCATTTGACGTTGGAGGTAGTGGCGTTCGCGCTCAATAGCTATGCTGACTCAGACCCTTGGTCGCGTGACGAGTCCGTCATTTGCTCCGCCTGCCTGCGGCTTGCCTCTCACCGCTCTCACGGTCGTCGAAGCCTCGTGCCAAGCTGGAAGCCGAGGTGGATGACTCAGATCAAAACAGTCGCTGGTGGACAACGACATGGAAATCAACGACGTTCTTGTGATGTTACACCACACGTGGCATCAGTTCATTAGTCCAGACGGCCGAGGTATCCGCTATTTGAACGGCAGCTACCTCGCGCTACTCGCCTGTCAAATCAGGGGTTTCACTGCCCGCTCGCCACGGTGTGTGTGCATTCAGGCCATTGTGATTCCGTCGAAGTCCTTATTCACACGGAGAGTCTTCTTCCTTTCGTAAACTTCCTTCAATCCGGTGTTACCCCTACGCTCATCTGGCACATGGCTGCTTGTATCTCCACGAATCCAGCATTTTTCCACTTCAAGTCAACCGTTAATCGTAACTCCCAAGCGCTTACTCGCAAGAGCTTCGTGTTTCCGCCGTCAAAACGAACCATGGTGCGGTCCAGCGCCGACCATACTGACGTCAAGCGCCAGCCGGCTGTCAAGGGCCAGCCGGCGGCCGTCAAGAGCGAGCGGCAGCTGACGGCTGAGGAGCACTGGGAGTGGCACGCGCCGCACATCCGCAACTGGCGCGGCGAGTGGAAGATCTGGAAGCCAGTGGACAGCGACGCGCTGCAGAAATCGTTCAAATCCGTCCGTTCGTTTCAATTCAAGGATGCGGAGAAGTCCGCTTTTGACCACGTGGTGAGTGATGCTCAGTTGAGTGTTGCTGAGTGAGTCATGGGTCATGTGTGATGCTTGGTGAGCCATCCTTCATTCATGCCATTCCATCATGCATCCTATTCCCCTCTCTCACCGTTCTGTTGTGGCAGAACGACTGGTACGAGGAGAAGGGAGATTTAACCATGACTCCCTTGTCAGGGGTAACTTGGGAAATTACCCGCAAGGATCACAGCCTGTCCGACGGCATCATGCACCCTGCCCGCCCTTCTCACCGAGTGCTGTGCGTCAATCCCAAGGGCGAGGGCGCGTGGGTGCAGCAGCAGTTCAAAGGGCCGCAGGAGGGGCTTTACCTGGAAGCGTTTATCAGCAAGGGTATGGTCTGGTCCTGTATGGTATGGTAGGCATGGCATGTGGTATGATGATACTAACAAAGCTACATCAACACTTCTGAAGCACCTCGAAGGGGCCTTGCAGGAGTATTTTTCAGCGATGGTGTGTCATGTCCACACGCCACTTTCACAACCAGCCATACCTGCTCATCTTTCCTTGACCAGCATCACCGACCACTGGGTTTTGAAACACCTCAAAGTTAGGCATGTCCGCTGCACCACTCTCACTTACACCCTTTAGCAGCACTGACCACTGACTCCCACCACTTCCAACCACAATGCTCCCCACACTAAAGACCCCGAGGCTATTTTGAGGACTGAGCATCCTCGCATTTTTCTCCCTTCACATCTTTCACCACTTTGCATACCCACACCACTTTCTTCTGCACCCTGTGGTATCTAGCTCTTCCCATTAATTTATCTTATTTAAGTAATATAAAATACTCCAACTCCTCATACATTCACCAATACCACTTCCCCCACGCACACACACTCCAGGCCCAGAGGCTAAACTGAGCATCCCTTCTGGATTCGATTCCAAGGGAACTTTCCTGGCGGCTATGATCGTCGAAGATCTTGCAAACTCCAAGGATCGGCCTGAACCAACGTGACTCCTCACACTTTCACCTGTATCGCTCCCCACCCCACACATGCACTCCAGTCCCAGAGGCTCAACTGAGCGTTCCTTTTGGATTCGATTCCAAGGGAACCTTCCTGGCATCTTTGATCGTCGAAGACCTTGCCGATTCCAAGGATCGGCCCGAACCAACTTGGAAGAGCAAGGCTTGGCCCTCGCCTGTCCCAGACGTCCTCCCTAAAGAGTTCCCTGCTTTCATCTCCACAGATCAAATCGCAGGAATCGAACAGAAGATAACTCCCAGCCTGGTAGCCTCCGAATCAATTTCCCTGTGGAATGGTTACTGCGGGAAAATTGCAGGCGATGAATCTGTGGAGTATATGCTCGTGGCGATTCCCCTGGGTGTAGTTCTGTGTGTTCCGAAGAGTCTTGAGCTGGTAGTGGGAATGCCTTTTAGCATGTCTGCCACGTGGCATGTGAGCAGGCATGAGGTGAAGCGGGTGCTTGCTTCGTATGATGAAACGGGGAGGCTGCTAGGGCTGTCCGGAGGGGATTACACCCATTGAAGATGTCCGCATGTCCTCCACGTGGTATGTGAGTAGGCATGATCAGGTGAAGCGAGTGCTAGCTCGCTTACGATGAATCGGGGAGGCTGCTGGTGCTGTCGTGTTGGGGGGTAGTAACACCCACTTAGGAGTGAAACAGGGGATGGCTTTTAGGGAAGCTTAGGGCAGGCAGGTGGTGATTGTTTGTATCCACTGCAGATATGTCTAATAGGGCTGTCTGGGATTGAATACACCCACTTGACAAATATGTTCAGCCATTGCTGCAGTTGATTGGGTTGGAGGATTATCCATGTTTAGCTAAAACCTTCGACTATGTTAGTGTATTGTGTGCCGGTCACAGTGATTGAGTGCTAGTGTTACGGGTGCAATGAATCGAGGTAGCGAGGATTATACTAAGGGTCAAACGAGTACAAAATGTGAGCTAAGGCATGAGCGAACATTTATACGCGAAACATGCAAACGGTAACGCGATGTGTGCGAGCTAGCTAGTGCTATGCTGGCAGTGAGGTTCGGGCTAGTCCCGAAGCGTAGGGCGATACGGCCGGGCCAGCAGTGCGAGGTTTCGTGAAACAGTGTGCGCAAAGTCGGCGAAGCCCCGTCAGCAGTAACGGGCGAACAACGGCTGCTGCTGTACGCGATGTTGCAGGGCGTGCTAAGGAATGTCGAGAAAATTCCTTACACTACCCACCCCCCCCCCCCCCCCCCCCCCCCCCCCCCGTCCTCAATGTTGGGCTGAGTGCCCCTTAGGATCTTTGGTAGGGTTAAACTCTGGATAGAGTGATGTAGTAGCGGAAGCGTTTAAATGAAGTCCTTGAACCACCTTGCGCTGGTATGTGAGGGCAAAGTAAGTTGATTAAAACAAGCAAGTACAAAGGTTTATATAAGAATACAAAGAATACGAAGAGATATAATTAACCTGTTTTACTGTTGCGGTTCGATACAGTGCGACTCGGGCAACTGCTCAATGTCGAGTCAGTTGTGTGTCCTTGCTGTCGCGCTGCATTTGTCAAGTCAAAGGTCGCTAACCTTTGACTTTCGCGTAACCTCCAGCGGTTACTTCAACTTCCGAGGGTTGACTCGCTGGTGCCTCGATATGCTCTGCTTCGCTTGTGCCTTGGTGTTTCGACACGACAGAGGCGCGTAAGATTGTTTGTTCCCAACACTCCCCTTTGCTTCTGGAGTGTCGCTGCTGGTGACGTGGCTTTGTCCAGTCAGCAGCATGCAGTACTCGAACTTCTGTTTTCCGAGCTTCTTGGTCAAGTAGTCAACTGCCATCTCGGACGTGGGACAGTAGGATAGTTCAAGTCTCCCCTTCTCAATCTCGTC